ATTAAAAAAACCCAAACAGCCACCCCCTAAAAAAACCCCACAAAACAATCTAGAAATAATTGGTAAGATCAACCTGTGGCCCTCCGAGCAGGCAGAGAGAGGGAGAAACGTGAAGAAAATCTCTTCTTGGTTAAAATTCTTGCTTGGCCTAACAGACACAAACCAAGCTCAAACGCAAGAAAAGGTCACCAAGGCAACCCCATCACTGAACAAAACGCCTTCACACCCTGGAGATAAGATATGCCCATGTATATGTATATCTGCCTATAGGTGTGTGTGGGTGGGTACACATAGGCATGGGTATGGCTCTATGGGCATAGGTGAAGGCCTCTATGCCCGATCTAACCCCCAGGACACAGCGGGAAGTTAAGAAATATGGCCCCAAGCTGGAGTGGGGAGCAGGACCTCTTTGGCCCCCTCCTTAACTGTGGAAAGCAAACAGACAGTACACCATTCAGCCAGCCTTTGCCCGAGCAAGCCACCGTCTCGCTTTAAACAACTGTCTCCTGGAGGCATATCTAGAATTAAATGGAGTTCCTAGGTTGTTTTCTTTTTTTTTTTTTTTTTTTTTTTTTCCGAAGGCTCTATTCTCCGCTCAGCTCGTGTGTCTCTCAATACAAACCGAGCTGGGCGAGGGATGGTGCCGGGCATATGCCTGAGGAAGGATAGCTTGCAGGGGATATTGCAGGGGTTCAGGGTGCTTCTGGCCGATTTTATCCTGGAAGATTGATCTAACCACACCATATAAATTAATGAAAAGATTAAACTTTTGCTGAAGGGGACATCAACTCTTATGTCATCTTCCCGGGTCTTCTTACTTGGGCTCTGTAATATCTTTCCAAGGCCTTGATGTACTGTTTCTATAAAAATAAATTACTTGTAATTGAATTCTGCACTCTTTCTTTCAAGTACTTTATTACTGAGGAGCACCTTAACTGGATGTTCATAGTTAGAGGAAAATTGGTGCTTCAAGTGCTTACAGATCTTAGCACCACAACAACAACAAAACAAAAAAAAAATAATCAGGAAGAGATTATGAGAAATATAACTCCCACGAATTTAATAATCTCATAAAAAGGGTTTTCATGGCTAAAAATAAAAGTGTAAATAAAATAAAGAGGAAAAGAGGAAAAAATGGATAATTAATTAGGAAATAAGCAGAGAGTTGATATCCATCAATAAATGGAAGCAGAAAAAAAAGGAGGAAAAGGAAAAGGTGGGTTTTTTTCCAATACTTTCAGAATTGTTCTCTAATTCCTATCTGAACCTCTTGTCCCTTGCTGCTAAAGGATATAGTTTCAATTTAGTGTGGAAATTTGCTGTAAATAAATTGAAGCTCCTATGATAGCTAGTCCTTATTAACCTTTTATTTTTAGTGTTGTACTGGAAACTCATATCACCCAGCTGTCAGGGTTATAATTGAAAGTTATGAGACCATAGTGAGGAGCAGGCAGTAATTCAATTACAACAAATATCTTTGGGTTTATGGTGCAGGGCTAAATTAAATGTCATTATTCACTGTCTGTAATGGAAATCAAAAGGAAATCAGATTAGAGCATTTGTGAAAGAAATCACTGAGTGATCCTTAATGAAGAAATAACTGTCTAAAACAGTGTACTGTGCTTTACTTAGCATATTCATGACTAATTGGAATTGATCGTGAATCACACCAAGCCTGATTTATTATCGCTTAACGCAGTGGCTAATTCATCACTTTTATTCTTCATAACCTTATTTTTTCGTAGCTGAAGGGAAAGGGCACTTCGTTTTCCAGATTTAAATATAATTTCGTTTTGAAAGATGTTATGATTTGCAAGAGAAGTTGTTTAAACGCTGCTTAAATTCCTTCTGACAATTTACACTGCTTTGGCGAGGCGGGGGGGGGGGGGGAGGGAACACACACAAGGAGATTTCCTGCAAGGATTTACAACTGTAAAAAATGTATTATTGTCGCTGCAGCTTGATAATATTTTGCATTCTCATATTTAAATATATGTATGTATATAAATCCCTAACGGTCCGGTTAAAAGGAGAATCGATGCATCTTGTTGATATTTTCGTATTGCTGGAAGGGAAAAATAAGCTTGCGCCGCGCTGTGCTGTACAGGGCAGCGATGCGGCAGTGATGCCCGGTTAGCGCGGGGAGGGCTGCGCTGGCGACAGCCGTCAGGGATTGGGACCGCTGGGTGGGTCGGTCTGTTCGTCCATCGGTCTGCCCGCAACCGCGGCGCTCCACAGTCGCTCGCTGTGCGCTCCCCGCACGGACACCTTAGGCAGGAAGAATGGCGCTCTAAATCAGAGAAGGCCAATTCCTACTTGAGAAAATCACTGAGGTACCCGAGGTAATTAATGCCTTCGGAAGCCTTTCTTTGCACTAATTACTCCGTTGTAAATGACCATCATTAAGGCAATTGAAGAAAGCTTGAAGGGAAAATTTGATGTAGGAAGTGCAGTTAGTATTAATTAACCGTATGATCTCTTGGCAAGTGCAAGAACATCAAAGGTTGTAGGTGTTTACTTAGCTACAAGATTTTATCAGCGGTGAAAGTCAATGTTTGTCCATATTCGGTAGTTTTGGTGTAGAGACAAGGGTCCGCAAAACATTTTGGTCCGTGCCTCTGACGATGCTTCGGGGAGAGCTGCTAACCAAGCAGTGCGGAAGGGGAAAAGTAATGAAGGTCTGAAATGCCCCTGGAAAAGAGGAGCGGGAGGCGCAGTGGCAACTGCAAGTTCTGCGCTTGTTTGAGTGAGAACGGCTGGAATTGGGGCAGGATTATCGGATTACAGGCGTTTCTCGCTTAGGGACATAAGCACTTCTTTACATCGCAGCCTGCAAAAGATGCTGCTCTTGTCTGTCAAGAAGTCAGCAGTAGCGAATTTTGTTTTCTTTTAACATTTGGGGAATGGGGAATGATTCGGACCCTTTTGTGCAAACTCAGTGTCTCGCATCTTGACGGAAATCATCCATTCTAGACCCAGTCTGGGAGAGAGCAGGAGGTCCGGTGTCTTAGGGGCCAGACCCTAGAGTTTGACCTTGTCCACGCTGGCAGTTCTCCGGAGTGCTTAAGGTGTAACTAGGAAGGGAGTGAGGGTTCCACCCGTCCTGCGTGTAGTCTCATTTTCAGTGTTTGTGGGAGCGGCCCCTCGCTCCAGACGGGTGGCACAAAGACCGCCACTGGCCGTCCAGGGGACACGGGGGCCTCCGAGATTCGATGCGGAGCGGCCGGCTCCCGGTCTCCCCGGCTGCGAGGGCGCTTCCCGCCTCCTAGGTTCAACCATAGGATCAGGGACCGCCCCCCCATCCCCGGCCGCCGAACAGCCCCCCTGCAGCACTCAGAGGGGTTCACTCCACCTGGGGCCGAGCTCTCCCCCTCTGCTGCTCCCGAGGAGAGACCTCAGTAAAGTTGTGCAGAGCCACTCGCCTCGCCCCTCCATCCTTAGCCCCTGGGATAATGCTCCCTTAGCAGCTTCCTGGGGCACCTCCATTTTTGGTTGTTGTTTTGGTTTTGTTTGCGTTTTCTTTTCACAGGTATGGTTCCAGAACAGGAGAGCAAAGTGCCGAAAGCAGGAAAACCAGATGCACAAAGGTGGGTTAGGGGTGCGGGCCTGCCGGGAGTGGTCGGCCGCGGATCCCGAGGCGCCTTCGTTGCTCACCCGGCCCTGTCTCTCCCCGCAGGTGTGATCCTGGGAACCGCCAGCCATTTAGACGCCTGCAGAGTAGCCCCTTATGTGAATATGGGAGCCCTGAGGATGCCTTTCCAACAGGTAGTTAGCTTCGGTTTTATTTTACTTTTCCCCAGCAAGCTCTGACCCTCTTTCGTTTGCACGGGAGTAAGCCGGACACGTTTACAAGTGCCATTTATATAGAAGTTGGCACGTATTTAAAACAGGCTGTAAAACTTGGTGAAGGAGCCTCCGCCCGGCTTTCGGGAGCTCAGCGCCCTTCGGGACTGGGTAGGAGGCCAAGCGCGGGGGTCCCGCAGCCCCAGGAGGCGCCGCCGGTGCTCAGGGCCTCTCGGCCCGCACACCGAACTGGCCTCCCGGGGGCGCATCGCCTTCCCGGGGCGGGAAGCGCCCGGGCGAGCCCGCCCGCACTCTGCGGGGACGGACCGGCTCAGTCCCGAGCCGCCCGGGGGGCTTCGGTCTCCGCCTAGAGCCGAATAGCGCTGCGGGAGAAGGGTCTTCCACCCCATGCGCGAAACCATCAGGGAGAAAAACTATGCGGACCCTTGCGCTGTCGTTCTCCTCTTCAGTCAGTCCCAGGCGGGCTGTTGAGATCTGCCCTTTTCCCGTGGACGAGGCCGTCCCGGAGACGGGGAGGCTGCTCCCAGATGCTCTGCCAGTGGATGGTCAGCTGGAACAGGGGCAGGGGTGGAGCGCAGGTACCGACGCCACTGCGGGGCCCAGGTCCATGCCCTACTGAGGTGCAGCCCCCCGGGAAAGGCCCCTGGGGAAAACCGGGGAGAGGGAGATGAAATTCCGTCCCGCCTCTAGCCCCTTGTAACTCTCCCTCTCTCCCTCTTTTCTCTCTTTTTTTTTTTTTTTTTTTTTTCTGGTCAATTAATCGGGAAATTGATTTTTTTCCCAGCCCAAAGGGACCCTCCACCACCTTCTCCGTCTCAGAGACACGTGGAGCTGACAGATTAATTGTATTGATTTTTAAAAGACATATTTGGACGAAAATAATTAAATACATAAATAAACTCTCCCCCATTCCTCCTCGAACCTACCCGGAGCTGAAATCTCTCAGTCAACCCAATGTGTTTGTGTAGGTCGAGAAACCTCCAAAGCAAACACCAGTCGGGTATAGAAGGGACCCATGGCCAAAGAGTTTTAGCAAGGTATAAATAAACATCCTTGGAAAAAAAGAAAAGCCTGAAAAAAATTAAAAAAAAAAATTAGTTATTTAACACTTGTTGGCGTTGGGCCGCATACTTACTATTTATTTATTTATTTAAAGCCATGAGCAGGAGGGTTAAGCGTCTCTCTGGGCCCCTGCTTGAGTGCGGAGCGGAGGTCTACCGCCTTGACTGCGGGGGGGCTCCGCTCACAAGTTGATCTTTTCAGTCGCCGGGCTCTCGGGAAGGGTCGGGGCAGGGGATGTGGGGTGGGGGGGCTGCGTGCCCGTTGCCATGGCCTCGGGGCTCACGCCGTGTCTCTGTCGCCGCCGCCGCCCAGGTCCAGGCGCAGCTGCAGCTGGAGGGCGTGGCCCACGCGCACCCGCACCTGCACCCGCACCTGGCGGCCCACGCGCCCTACCTGATGTTCCCGCCGCCGCCCTTCGGGCTGCCCATCGCCTCCCTGGCGGAGTCCGCCTCCGCCGCCGCCGTGGTGGCCGCTGCCGCCAAGAGCAACAGCAAGAACTCCAGCATCGCCGACCTGAGGCTGAAGGCCCGGAAGCACGCCGAGGCCCTGGGGCTCTGACACGCTTCACCCGAGCCCCTCTCCCCACACCCCGCCCCAGGTGCCCGCGGCGGGCGTGTGTGTGACCCGCACGGACCGCCGCTCTGCCCCCCTGCTCCTCCTCATACTCCTCCTCCCCGGCCGCAGGGCGAGCAGCGAGCGCTCCGGCCTCCCTGCCGCCTTCTCTTTCTTATTTTGTTTTTTTGTTTGTTTCTTCCCCCTTCCCCGAGGTCTGCGAGCGCTCGGCGGCTGCGCCCTCCGGCCGCTTTCCTCGCCCGCTCGCCCCCAGGGACTCGGCGGCCACGGACGTGCCGCGTGGCGCGGTGGGGACGCTCCGCGGACACATCCACACACACACGCGCAGCAAACACGCACCCACGAGTCAGAGACTCCTCGGAGGACAAAGTAGGTGGGAGGAGAAAGAAAACAGAGTTTAAACAAATTCACAAAAAGAGAAAAGAAAAAAAAGAAAGGAAACAATCTAAATTATGTTAATCTGTGAACATTGGGGACACTTTGGATTTTTGACCCTGGCAAAAGTGATCGCTCCGGCATAACGTCATCTGCTGCTGTCAATTTTGCTACCTTGTGCATGTGTCAAACTAAACACGTTTTGAAGATCAGAAATATATTAGAACGAAACTAAACAAAACAAATAGTAATAATAATAAATAATAAATCCTTGGGGCTGGTCTCCATTAAAGATGACATTTCTTTGTTGCCAACAGTATTATTTCACTGCCATGAATCTCTTCCATCACTGAGGAGCTGCTGCTGCAGAACTGGTTTGAATTTAAATGTGGAATTTCAGATCTGAGGCAAGGCAGGTTTTTCTTTTTTTTTTTTTTTTTTTTACTTATTTTCTTTCCTAAAAAAAAAGGCAGCAATAACAAAAAAAAGTGTGTCTCAAATGTCTGTGTTCTTTGAAAGGAGAAAAAGAGAGAGACTAGAAGTTATTAATTGTTAGTGATAACTTGAAAAATGGGAACAATAAGAAATGCACCTGTTTTGCCAGAATCACCTGAACTCAGAGATGCATTGAGCCATGGAAAGAGGTCAGATTTTCAATATTTTTTTCCAAATGCCTGGATCTTTGAATCACAATCTTACTGTTTTAGAGGATGTAGAAAGAATGAATTATACAACAAAGATGGACATATGGTTTTAAGGCATAATACTGATGCAGCATTAATTTTAGTGAAATGCAATTAGGTGCAGTAAAGTGCAATACTGTAAATATTATAGATTAAAAAAAATAGCCGTACTTATTCTGTTAATAACCAATTCTGCAAGAAGCATAACTAAAATCCTTTATGCTCAGACTGGTGCATTGCAGCTCTTTGCCAAAATGACAGTCTGAGTCTTCTATGAATGGATAAAGCTGCTTGTATCACATATGGGAAAAGGTAGATGCCATGACTTCTAGTCAAGTTAATGTGCCATATTTTTGGAAAACAGATGAAAAGCCTGTATGACACTTTCACAATCATTTTAATAAAAAAAACCCCCACAACCAAACCAAACAAACTAAAACAACTCATAGAAGTGTTTTGTAGAAGCGGACAAGTTCAATAGTTGGCCATTTTAATTTTTGCCTGTGATTTAGATGCCAAGTATTAAGCTAATGCTTAAGCAAAGTAACTACGATAAATCCAGCAAGACTGGGGAGCAGGAAAACCCTTTAAATTATATTACCAAAGTGTCTGAGTTTACTGACCCCTCTTCCCAGTTTTACCTTTTATGTTATTGACTTCTAATTAGGTTTGTTTTTTTTAAAAATTTTTGTTTGAGAGGAGAGAAGAAGGTACAAATATTGGTCTTGTCTTCATCTAAAAAGCTACTTGTTGCCTTTGTTACCAAGGTCTGCGTTGATGGAAGGTTATCCTCTCAATAGTACCATTATTAGGCCTGCTTTTTATGTATTGTTTAGCAATCCATTGCTAGTTTTGGCTTTTGCTGATATTTATAAAATCCAAATATTCTCATAGGACAAAAATTCATGGTTAGGATAATTTTAGACACTTTTCTTCTTTTTAATTTTTTTCTCCCTCAAATTCCGATATTTTCTAGCAATCAAAGTTTCTGCAATGTCAAAGTTGTGCCATTTCCCTTCTACTTACTACATGATAAGTAGTTATATTTTTGATTTGCTAGGCCTGATAAATGTTGCCTGCCTTTTTTACCTCTCTGTGAAAGCCTAGCACCTTTTTAAAGCAAGGCCAAGATATTAAGGTAGCATTACTTCTTGCTGAGAAATACAGAACAAATCTCAGGCAATTAAGAATTTTTTTTTTAAACAAAACATTACCTAGAAAATAAAATGTTATTCATGATGATGTATGAATTTCTGGCTAAAATGAGAAATATTTGGAGTGGTTTCAGCACTTCTAAAATGCAGATCTGAAAAATAATAAACATAACTACAGAGATGATTTAGGCTACAGTAAGTAACCTGTTGTGCTAGGTACCCACAGCATTCAAGGAGAATTAGATTCACAGTGTTAAAGTATAGAGCTTTTGATTGAGTAAGGGCTGCTTGTTATCTGTGCCTGTGATCTAATTGTTACCATTTCAAATCCTCTTTTGAGACCTTAAAAGAGGCTTATGTGACTTTTTCCAGTCCTGTGCTGGACTTCCACAAACTAGTGATTTTCAACCTTGAATAATTCCACAGAATGAAGTGGCTGAAAGTGCAGGCTTGGGACCTGAATTTTCTCAGACATCTAAGTGAGGCTGAGAAGTGTTACCAATCTCACAGTCTTACAGGATGCACATACAGTATGCATCCACCTTGTATGGGAAGGAATAACTTTTCCACCTTTACTGTTTTACTAGGTACAAACACAGCAAAAAATGCTTGTAGATTTGTCTCAGAATTTTTGGTTCTTTCTTGTATTCAAAAAACAGTGGAAACATGAATACAATTCCCTGCTAAGATGAAACAAGGCTGGTAGGGTAGCATACATCTTTCCAGAATGAAATATTCTTACAGTTTTTTCTGATTGCTTTCAATGGATGTCTCAAGGACATTCTTGCTCTCTACCACAGAAGGGAAGAAGGTGGCAAGATTTATCAGCTTAGCCTGTTTTGAAGGAGGTACCACAGATTGGCCTGGGGAGAGGGGCAGGGTATTGCTGTGAATCTACCAAGGTGTTTCATGCTGCTTTTGCATTTCATTTAGCATGAAAGGAAATGAAAAGATGCACTATGTAGGGGTTGTCACTGAAACCAGTTCTGCTTTTCTTATTTCTTGAATGGGCTGATTTCATCAGTGGTGGTATAAAAGCTTTGTTTTTGATGATGCACGTAGGTGACCTTGTCTTCTTGCCATCCTTACATCATTGGGAACAAATGAGGCATCCTATCTTGGCTACTGTGTACTGGACTGTACTTTTCTGTAAGTGTAAGTCACTGTGGCTCCATTCACTGTGTGGAGCTCCAGTGATCAAACAAGTTGAGAATCTGGACCAAAGCATCTACTCCATCTCTGTTAATGTGTGGTCTCTTTTTTGTTTGTTAGTTTATTGTTTAATTATTTTTCTTAAGTAGGTTGGAGGTTGAAGATAACATAGTAATGGTCCCGAGGTGCTTATTAAAGTTTAAAAGTATTGTAATCGTTTTAGATTCTCAGGCACGCCAAGCCTCATTTATTGTCTGCCATCGTCCAGCCTGATCCTTGTGTAATCTTTCATTTGAGAAGAGTGAGATTTCCAAGATCATCAGAACAGCAGCCACTGAGCAGAATTTCCTTGGAGGAGGCCCTCATTTGGTGTATGTGGATTGCTAAAGAACCTTTCTCAAAAGTTCTGTCTGGTATTTGAAAAATAATTTGAATGAATGCCAAATGAAAAATGCTGTTTATAAACAAGTCTATAAAAAAGGCTTCATGCATTATGTGGGCCCCTTTATAATGGAAAAAATATATTCTGTTTTTTTTTTTTTTAAACTGTCACATAAGCTTAAACACTTCATTTATTTGTATCAAAACAGCAAATTGACTCCATGGCTCATTTTTATTGACTTGGAAACATGTGAAAAAAATTATACTGAAAGTTTTTTTGCTTAGTAGGGTCATATAGATGTAGTGACATTTTGGTTAATATCATAATACTTAGCACTTATATAATGTTTATTTGCAAAGCACTATATAAATGTCTACTATCTAATCCTCACCCATTATAAACTAGGTAAGAATTATTATCCCCATTTTTAAAGAAATTCAAGCATATAAATCTAGGGCCAGGTTCCATCACCTGTTGTCACCACTGAGTATTATTACTTTTTTTTTTGTAAAGTAGGAACATCCCCCAGATCACAATCTGACTTGAACTTTGTGGTGGTAGACAACTTTCTATGTAACAGAGACCTTGCTCCTAGAAATTTAAACTCTGACTTCAGCGTAAGTCTCAAATGGCACGTTGAATATGTTTTGGAGTGGCAGAATTTGCCCGTGAGTTATTTCCACAGAACATGTAGTTACTGCCCAATGCTCTGACCCCATATGTCAGTGGGAATTTGGTTTATGGCTCAGTGGGGCTGAGTTGTGTCAGTGTTAAGACTGCAACCAAATTTCTGAGTTCCCAACAGCATGCACAAATTGCTAGGAAACCCTGATTTCCAACTTCCCCTACTATAAATTTTTCACACAGACCAAATGTACAGATGTCAATTCTTTGCATGCTTTATCTGCTATGTCTTTTAGTCCTATGTTTGCCTATAAAATAATAATAAGACATGATTTTGAATTGACATAACATTGACACATTGGGACTGTTGAGTCAAATAAAACAGATATGTAGTCCGACAAAAGTCCAAGTCCCTAAGGCAAAGCCAGATTATGGATTCTTTTTTTTTAAATTGGTGACAAAAAATACGCATGTTTCTGCTTGTTTAAATGTACTAGGCAAAATAATTTTTTTTATTATTAAAAAGATAATTTTAATTTTTGGAGACAGTATTGATTTGGAGATGGCAGGATTTTTTTCCCCTTCAGTTTAAGGAAAACTTTCAAAGTATAGGAAGAATAGATTACACATATTTCTTATAAATGTGCTTATTTTTGTAATATCTAATATCTAATTATTCAGGTGATGTCCTTGTAATTGCTAATTGTACTCAACTCTACCAAGTGCGCCCA